GAGGAGGAGTTGGAGGAGGATGAGGTGGAGGAGGAGGAGGAGGTGGATGAGTAGTTGGAAGAGCACTTGGAGAAGGAGGAGTTGGAGGAGGAGGAGTTGGCAGAGGAGTTGGAGGAGGAGGAGGTGGAGGAGGAGGAGGTGGAGGAGGAGGAGGTGGAGGAGGAGGAGGTTTCTAATTTTAGTTCTCTTATGTCTTCGTGAATAAATGAATCAAAACTTCTATCACCAACACTAAATTCCTAGTGGGTAGAAATTTAGGTTAAAGGAAAAGATACTCGGGCTTGACACCGTTATTTTCTGTTATTTCAGGTAGAAATACAGTAAGTGCAGTGTCTTAATTTGTGTCACCACCATGACAAATATGTCATAGGTCGGGTGGCTTTGACAGCAAGTGTGTGTTTCTTTTTATTTTTTCATGTTTTGATTTATTTCTTAAATTTTTAAATTTTTTATTTATTTTTATTTTTAAAAAAATTTAACACCTTTATTGTGGTAAGCAAAATATTTGTTTCTCACAGTTCTGGAGGCTGGACGTCCAAGAATCTGAGGTCTGATGAGAGCCCATTTCCTAGTTTGCAGACTGATGCTGTTTCATCGTATTCTCACGCGGCAGAAAGCAAAGGGAGAGGAAGCAAACTTTCTCCTGCCTCTTCTTACAAAAGGGCACTAATCCCATCAGGAGGACTCCACCCTCATGAGCTAATTACCTCTCAAAGGCCCCCGTTCTCCAAACACCATCACACTGAGGATAGGGTTTCAATGTATTAATTTGGAATGTGGGGTGTGGACAAATTTTCAGTCTATAGCAGGCAGGGAGAGGAAAAATTCTCCCCTAGCATAAGGCCAAGCTTAGAAGAACTAAGAAAAAAATTTTTATTTCATTATTATTGCTATTTTTTTTTCAGAGGTACTAGGGATCAAACCCAGGACCTCGTGCATGCTAAGCATGTGCCCTACCACTGAGCTATTTCCCTCCCCACTGAATTTCTTATTTGGCGGGAAAGGAAGTCATCCTTGTGTTGGTGAGGTATGTTTGACTTCAAATAGTTGATAAAATTAACCAGACTGTAAAAATCCCTCTTTTATGCACAGAACCAGTTTACCGTATTCTAACCACTGCTGCCCCCACCCCACACCATCCTCTTAGGGAGCTATTCCAGTCACTGAGATCAGACTTGTCTCTTTTAAGCCAAGTTCTCTCTGCACAGTTGTGCAGAAGAGGAAGCCACACTAAACTTTGATAACCACACGGCAGCATTTCTTAGACACAAGAAAAAGAAAAGACTGGAGTTTATTTATTCTATGGGAAGAAACAGCAAATCCTGGAAGTGGGCAGCGGGAGGGAAGGGGGTGGCCTATGAAGAGGGAGTTAGGGCAGCCAGAAGTGAGGGGAGGAGGGACAAGAGTTAGAAAAAAAGAAGTATTTTCATAAGCTACCTTTTTTGTTTCACCCCAACTGGGTGTATGTACTTCAGTACACTTTGATGCTGACCACCCAGATTTAGCATCAGAGTCCACAGGCTTAGGGCTCGGTGTCCCACAAGG